ATGGTTGTGGCCTTTTTTTTTATTATTTTGTTTGAATAGCAGTGCTATTTATTTTTTGTATATCTCTATAAATTTTGATTATGATAAGTAAAATTATCTACATAAAAAATGATCTGAAATACACTAAGATTATTAAAGGGACATGTGACTGGAAGAAAAGAAAAATATAGTACAAATAGAAGTAAATAAAATATACTTTAAATCTGTTTCAAATAATGTCCATAAACATTTGTACAATGAAAAAGTAAGATTTTAAAAAAAAAAAAATGAAGCCTTAATCATAACTTATAAAAGTAAATAAATAAAGGGAATATTGAATAAATAAAATCATTTATTATATGGTATACATATAATTTAAATCCTGCATTTATTGATTTCATTACATCATAATGAATGTTTATTACATTAATAAGAAATACAGGAAACCTCCTAATGATTTGTAGAGTCAGCAGATGATGTAGTTTAGATCTATTTGTTTATTTGGGGTTTTGAGGTTTTTTGTTTCTGTTTTGTTTCTTTATTTAGTTTACAAACTGAATATTTCTCAGTGTGCACGTATAAAATTTGTATTTTATTCAAATTATGCAAATATTGCTAAAAAACATAAACTTGCTAAACATGACAATCTTGTAGTCAGTGGCGGACACAGGGATATTGGGTTAGGCACCTCCGGGGGATCTCTTGACCGAGAATATCGGGGGATGTCAATAGTGATTTGTGGCGCATATCTGGACCTGAATATAACATTCAATTTTAACAGCTATATTGCCACAACCAACAAAAAACAAAACAATATTTACTTGTTTTACGGGGCCCCCCACCTGGATCCGCCACAGCTTGTAATATGGAGATGTTATAAATCTGTGATCTTTTAAAACTACAGGTATAACAAGGTATTTCATTTCATTTTCTTATACAGTGGTGTGCAGAGATAAGGGTACAGGGGGTGATGGCCCCAGGCATCCATTTCAGGGAGTGTATCCAGTCAAAGATTAAAATTAAATTAAGCTTTTTTAAATTTTCAGTCTTAATTAATCATATATTAAGACATATTAAAGATGTCTTCCTTTCTCACATTTCTCAGTACTAGGCCCATTACTTGGGGGTATTCAATTAAGAAGTTGGCCTCCAGCATCACCATGCCTCTGCACGCTTCTGTTCTTGTATAAGTTATCATAAGCTTTATTTTGTTTGTTTGAGTAGCACAAGACTTACTTCAAATAGTATTGAAAAGATTTTGTATGTGCTAATATCTTTTATTTAATAAAAGAGTAAATAATGAAAACCATCAAAGTAATTTTTGTTCTATTTTTCCTGCAGCAGTTTTAGCATTTCCGTTTTTTTTTCTACACATTTTATTTTGTATAACAGAGGAAAAAATTTGTGTAAATAAGTACCAACTGGCACTTACAGGGGCTAACTAGTTGAGGTTAAAAAAAACCTGTAGCCAAAACGTCCTACATCAAAACTATGCTGCTATACAGCCTATTTTGTTCTTAGATTATTGTCCAGTCCAATCAATTTGGACACTTTCATCTACTGTTTATGCCTAGTCTGTCTTTTTTAACTGATGGGGTTGGTTAGTCGATGTTGTCTAGACACTTTTCCTTGCAAGGCACTTAGTCCTGAACCAGAAGAAACCAGGCTGGAAAATCCTAAGAACTTTCTGTTTTTTGATCTAGCGCCATACTGAGTTGGAAAATATTAGAAGCTTATCCATAGATGGTTTAAGTAGCAATTGCAAGTCCTGTGATAGTGCAATTTAAGATGCCAGCACGCACAAGATTAGATTTCTCACAACTAAAATACACAAAATTGACAGCTCAGTTTAGATCTGGTCACTGGAGACATACTAATCCTTCAATTTCAGAATTTTAAGAGCATTAGTGGACCAGTAAGAAATGGAGACTATATATGCCTATGGTTTTCAGTCATGAAAAAAAGATGGTAACAAAATACATGGTATAGAATTAACTAGAAATTATCAAAACTTATTTTCATGCGACCAAACTAGTGTACGGTAATTCAATAGTGGCGAGAATAATTATATTTGGAACTGTGATTAAAGGGAAGCAACTACGTTATGATGGTGTTGATATGTATTAAAATGAGCTTTATCAATATGATACCTAATAATCGAAATCCTTGTCTCTTTGTGTATGAGATAGTCACACCCAAACCCCATAAGGGTAGGTGCGACTTGGGTGTATACTCCAATCGTGATAAATTAGACAATTTCAAAACAATCTAGACAGATCCCAAAGTTCTGGTTGGGCCATCTTTTTCTCTGAAAGGTAGGGAAAGAGGCAGGCCTATCGGTTTCCTGGGTAGCCTAACACCTGATTTCCAGTAACATATAGGTAAGATGTATTTGGGTTGCTTTTACATTTCGACAATTTAGGGTTAGTGCTAAATGATAAGGCCAGCTCAATTTTTCGTCATAGGTCACGAAATGTAAACAGGGCTAGCGCTAATCGTAATCCTAACCGTAGCCTACTCTGGACCTAGCCCTAATGCTTACCCTAACCCCAACCTTGCCAACAATCACGTGCCCTAACCTTATTTACATCTCGGCGACCTTGACAAAAATTGAGCTAGCCTTAGCAAATAGATTTAGCCACAATTTTGGGATTCTACACCAACAATGCAATGGCGGTGTACCGTAAGATAAGATAAATTTTAATGCATAAAACGCCCACGGAGAAATTCATACGATTACATAAATCACACTATAGTAAATTAACACACATGCGTAGATGTGCACCATTCTTTTAGTTTGCAGTCCTTGAATTTGCCAAATTGACATGTCCTTTGAGAATAAAATCCAGCAAAAATAGCGTACCAGTGTTGTCCATATACCAGTGTTGTCAATATACAAATTCTTGCCCGCTTATGGACCAAGCAGGCGATGGCACAGTCAGGCGTTCCTAGTCAAAAGTTTTGTCATAGTTATATTCAATCACATCGTTTTGTGTAACTTTACCTGCAATTTCCCAAATAGTATGTCATTTGCTAATACCACACCTCAAAAGACAAGAACGGCAACATTTAAGACTTTTCGGTTTCATCAAAACTAAGCATGACGTATTATTCTTATAAACGATAATGATTACTTTATATACTCACAATCATTAATGATTTTATAATGTCAAAAACATATCACTTTACAAAGAAGAATTAAAAATGTGTAAATGTTCGAGTGCAATCGATAAAACGTCCTGCCTTATTAGATAACGTTATTGTATAAGCATGTTGTAATATAATGTTCTGCCAACATCATACATCTGACGTACCTGGCTGAATAGGGCGAATGGTATTCCTGTGATGTCATTGTCTTACTATCTTTATTATCCTGGCCATCACCGTTGCCAGGAATAAAAGCCGGTGATCAGGATGTATACTGCCCACGGGGAAAGACCTCGATGTGGAGACGATTTTTGACGAACGTCGAACATTGTAAGAACCATACCGTTATCTTCTTTGCTTCCTTCTCACGTTGTGTATTTTCTTCTTACTATCTCAGAAGTTAAGACGGTTATCTTCTTATTAGTTAAGAGGTTTGTCTTACCAGGAATAACAATACAACTGTTCGTTTTTACATTTTATATATCAAGCACTGCTTACATATGGTTATAATGCATAATAGATTACATAAGCATATTTAAAATTAGCATCTATCTCTCACCCCCAACTTCTGTAAAAGTCTAACCAGACTCAGGAAAGGTTACATCATATGGTCGTCTAAAGAACCAAGGCGATGTCTACCCTCCCTGAGAATTCAGAGGAAGTCTCTAGGAAATTAGATGGTATCTGTCCGGAACTCAATGATATTTAAATCTTCAATGACTGGTTTAAGCTTTTTAACAGATTTGATTGGATGGTTACAGTGTATGATGCAATTAGTAAATTTTCAATCACGTGTTAAACATGATATTCTGATTCCCACGGAACCAGCTATGTTTACCAAATTATAGCTCTTTTTATGTGTAAATCCGTCACTTATTATTTGAGTGCATTAGATATGTGAACCCAATAATTAAAGATACAATATGGTCGCAAAGACCATAGTACTACATTGGTGCATAGAATGATTGGCAGTTAAATTGTATTCCGTTACAGACTAATCGTTACCTCTTCGGGTACCGCATTCGTGCACGAAATAATTCAAAGTTGATTTGAATTTCATAAAAAAAAATATAGCGGGTACAACTGTAATAACTTTATGTTACTACCACCGTCCGGCGATACCCATGGAAGGGCTGAAATAGTTATTTTACAAAATAACCAAAATCATTTAAAATTAGACTGATGGCATTTTTTTAGAAGATTAGATAAAGAGCTGACAGTTCTCACTCTTATAATTAAAAACTAGATAATGTGAAGGGAATGTGCTGAAAATTTCAGTGAAATTGCTCCACTCTGAACCGAAATATTAGCGATTGAATTTTAGGCCTAGCCTCATTCATCATTACTAAAGTCGGTACGATAAAAACACATAGTCTCGATTATCCATTTTTGCATTTAATCATCATGAGCGTTGAGCAGCAGATCAGATGCAAATCCTTTGAAAATCGAAAACATAAGATGGCATTGAGAGTTGATTACGGTCTTTTCATTTTAATAAATGTCTAATTAATAGTTTATATAACATTTCAGGTCGAAAGAAACACCTGCAATGGGCAGATTTAGCTCTTGCATAATGTATGTTTAATGATCAAAATATTATACAAATAACAAATTTCTGTCCTTATTCATTGCACATGAGCTCGTTTCGGCAACTTGGATACTTTATTGAATTTTTAAAAATATTTTTAGCCACAACACCGATGGGCGGAGCAAAACGTCATAAAAACCTGGCCCATGCTGCAGCTTCTGGCCTATAATAAGATAACTAGAACAAACTTCGATGTTCACTTTAACAAATACAATCAAATTTTAATGTATCATGCGTAAGGGCCGGGTGACTCCAGCAATGGGATCGATCGTGTAAAATGCCGAATGACGCCATCAGTGCGCGGCGCAGTAACTCGAATTCTATTGCGAAAACCGTGGACAGAAATGTGCATCCTATTCCCGATAGATCCGCGTAATTTTATTTTTCTAGGCAAAGGTTGAACTCTCTTTCATAATCAGTAACTTACTGTCCTCAATATGCAGCCGTTTTGAAGTGGTGAAGAAATATCTTCAATCCCTACCCTATGAAAAGTAGTGCTGGAATTTGAAATGATAGACTAATCAGCGCTGTGTATCTAAATCTATGAGGATCAATATGTATTGGTCTCTCACATCCTAAATTACATATGGTGGGACGGTGGGCGCTGGCTACGTTAAGCTTGTATAACCTAGAATATATTGTTTTCGCTAAATATACATTTCTTAAAATATGTTTTCAGAAGTATCAGTTTTAGCATTAATAAGATCTCATTTTGGAGCGGATTGAAAACACGCAGATCAGCAGTGAATATTCGCTATTAAAGATGAAGGCCTTCGCAATACCTATGTGAAACAGACTGGATTTGGAGAGGGTAGGGTGGGGCGATTCCGATTTAGAAAGGGCGTTTCTCCGTAAATCACCAAAAACTGCATTACGGAAATGGAAGAATTATCTCTGGGGAAATATAATACGGGGCCGGAGGAAATAGAACATATTTGTCTATACCGAATAGAAAGATGGCTACGCAAAGCGTGGAAATACGCCCACACAGCCGCTATATCTCAAAAGCAGTTTATCCGAAAGGGCAACATTGATGTGACCGAATTTAATAAGAATCTAAGATCCATCAAGGAATCTAACCTCTATCGTGTTCCTTTAAAACCTGTAGCATCTATCGCATTCACAATATTTTCGACAAAGGTTACTCCGGAATGGAAGGTCAAAGAAAGCTGAGAAACGTCCTCCAATGCTTTACACCAAATTTGAATAAAAAAATGTTAAAAACTGCAGCCTTTATTAGCCCAGTAGATTCAGAAAAAAAGGGAAGTTAAACCCCATTTCATTAAAACCCCATTTGTGGGCGTATAAAAATGGTTTATTGCTTGATTATATATATATGTACGGAATGTTAAATATAATTTTCAGCATCAAATGATTTGTCACCATCAAAATCCTTAGCCGGAGAACAGGAAGTATAGCTTTCACTACTCGGTCTTTTTAAAATACCGTTGATTGATTCTGTATTTGAAGTTTTCCTTTCTCTGTGTGTTTCAAGTACAGATGACGATCTGCTGCCACGGAGATCTCCAGTGTTGCTATCTTCAAATAGTGTATCATCATCAAAATCTTCAGCCAGAGGCCAAATGTCGCTTTCACTCCTCGGTCTTTTTAAAATACGGTTGTTTGATTCTTTTTCACTTTTTCTATCTGCTTGTTGTAAAGATGGCAATCTACTGCCACCTAAAACTCCAAACTCTGGTACAAGTAAATTATTGCAAACTTCAAATGGTGTATTACCATCATAATCGCTTACACTCCTCGGTCTTTTTAAAATACCGCTTCTTTCTTTATCTCTTTGATGTAAAGACGGTGATCTACTGCCACCGAGGTCTCCAGACCCTGGCACAAATAAAGTATTGGTATTATGTCTAGGGCTTTTCAAAATACTGCTGATTGTCTCCGTTTTGGAGGTTTTACGACGTCTGTCTGTTTGGAGTAAAGATGGCGATACACTGCCATCAAAATTTTCGAACTCAGATCCGGGTAAATTGTTAAAATATTTACGACTTTTTAAAATGCTACTGACTGATTCTGTTCTGGAAGTCTTTCGCACTCTGTCTGTTTGGATCAAAGAGGGTGATCTACTGCCACCTGGCGCCAGTAAGTTGTTGGTTATACTTCTGGAGGTCTGTAAAATACTACTGACCGATTCCGTTCTTGAAGTTTTCCTTTGCCTCTCGGTTTCGAGTAAAGAATGCGATCTACTGTCATCAAAATCCTCAAACTCGGGCCCAAGAAAGGTGTCACTTATACTTTTACGTCTGCAAAAAACACTGCTGACTGAATCCGTTCTAGATGTTTTCCTTTTTCTGATTATTTCAGGCGAAGAGTTAGATTCTGACAGCCGTTCATCGGTTTCTTTGGCACTACAGCTTGGCGTACTGATTGGAAACGTTGCATGAAATAGCTCAAATCTTATGAAATTCTCACCATCATCGTCGGTAACAATCCCTAAACCATGGAAACGACGCCCCCATTGAATGTCACTAGGTTTGTAGGCCTTCTTAGCCTGAAACGATAAACTTGTAGAAGAATCGATACCCTCAAGCATAACAATCAATTCGAAGTTTTCCATCATTAAATCGTCTTTTGATATCTCCCATAATGGGGAGTTTTCATCGATGTCATGAACAACAAATATTGGCCACGGAAGAAACAGTTGTTCTGATCCTCCTTCTGATCGGAGAGTAATAGAAAAATAGCTAACTGGAATACTTTTACCATGCTTTTTGGATTTTAATTTCTGAAGAAGAAATCCTCGAACATGAGCTGCTGTTATGTCGGATTTTCTCATGTCACCTACACGAATGGCTAATTTCATTTTGTTATCATCACTGAAGATACAGGCCACGTCACTGAAGAGGATCGTATTTGTTCTCTTTTTGGATCTTCGAATCTTGGCAACAACTAAACCGGAAAGCGCTATCTGAAGAGCTGCACCAATGATAGATTGAACAAGCACCCCAAGGTATGCTCCCGGGCAAGCTTCCGTTACGTACCGATATCCATAACCAATGGTTGTCATGGTTTCAATCGAGAACAGAAAAGCTGAAGCAAAAGATCGAATGTTGGTAACGCAAGGTTTCCAGTTGTCGGGGTGTTCATCGTCAAGGTCACCATTAACACTGGACAACATGATATAAAAAGCTGCAAAACCCAACCAAGAAAACGTAAAAACTCCAAAAAATATCAACAAATTCCACCGCCATTTTATATCGACAAGAGTTGTGTAGATGTCATCCAGATATCGACCTATTCTATCTGGTACACTTATTGACGCCACATTGCTGTGACCACTTTTACTAACAATACTTCCAGTATCTGATAAATTACATAAAATTGGATCCTGACTTGAATATGGCCCTGGGCTATCACTCCACATTTTCCTTTACCTGAAATAAAATATAAAAATTCATTTCTTTAATAAAAAAGTATAATAACTCAGACAAGTTATTGACTGTACCCTAAAGGAATATATAGATTGTGTAAGGTGATTGGTTTGGTGTAATCTAAGCTTTATAGGGAGGCATTTCCGATATATATCAGGGGTCTTCTTGGGTAATACTAGATTGTTCGCTCAGGGGTGTTTGTGGGGGGGGGGGGGGGGGGTTCCTATCCAGATTCAAATAGTAAGTGCAGGGGGACTGCACCACACATAATTTACACAAATACAAATACATGGACAAGACATCATACTCACAAAAACACAAATAAACAATTAAAAAAAGTGAATGGATCCGGGGGCTAGCCGTAAGCGTCCACTGCGCTGTACAGTGGTCAAAGTTAATTTATTACGTCGCTTATTATTTCTCCAGTAGCAATATTCCCCATGGCCTAAACATTGACCGTGAATCGCCCAATACTCCAACGTTTCTGAGATTTTAGAATGGGTGACGAAAATAGATGGGTGTGGGGTGGGGGGGTCGTACATTTGTCAATGATATGAACTAAACAAAAAAGGAAATTTTATTGCATCAGATCGAGATAACGTAAAGTATTTCAATTTCCAAGGTTAAATTGAAAGATAATCCTGGTTAACTTTAACCGGAAACTACGGTCGTCAAAAATAATTTCAAATTGTTTGAACATTTACATACTTTTGTACACAGTGGCATATTTTTCTGAATATACCGATTTTATTCTTATTTATTTTGTTTGTTAATAGATTTAAACCAACAATATGTCTTGAGTTCAAATGTGATTTGGGGGTAGCATAATAAATATATGGATATTATGCTAATGTATATTTCATGTATTAAATCGGGTTAACTTTCTTATCTTATCTATAGCATGTATAAAATATGACATAGGTGTATATAAAAATATTAATAACACTTCTTACCTGGTAGCCTTCTTCTTTAAATCGAACTTTTGAGTCAATATATTAATCATGAAATATTGTTTTCTTGTTTCATTCTCATAGTCTAGTTCTAGTTGGGATAGGATGATCATTTTTCCAACAACACGTTCTTTATTTTCTGGCCTCTTGCATACATCCTAACATGTCGCCTTAACAATATTATACGGAGCGTAAAATTTTATGAGTGTGGCGAAGCTATGAAACTGTCACTTTTTGTAATAAATTGCTGTCTAATTATATCGCATACCTACATGGGACAGGCTTGAGATACTATTATATATCAAACCACCTCTAGATATTCAACTTGTAAGTTGTCTTTCCACTTTATACGTAATTTTCAACGTCAATTATTTTATTTAAGTGTTCCTTCCAGTGCCAGTGTCTCTCAGAGAAAGAGAGAGGGAAAGAGAGGGAGAGTACAAAACTGGGTCATTCAGTGACTAATATTAATGGTATATTTTTATTTTCCTATGTGCATATATTGTCTCCTCTGTCTGTCAGTGTGTCCGTCCGTCCGTCCACATTTTGTTTATGGACATTCTACCGGTCCCATTTTTATCCGATTTTGACGAAACTTCAAATATAGGTTTATATCCCAAAGATATCGGTTCCTTTATTGGCATGTATCGGACCTCAACTTCATGGATTATGGCCCCTGGTTGTAATTGTTTTAAAAAATCATGTGTTTAAGCTTGTGGTCACCCTAGGGGTCACAATTTTTTTCCGATTTTGGTGAAACTTGAAAAGTATGTTCATAAAGATCTCAGTTCCTATCGATATTCGCAAATGTCGGACCGTAACTTCTTGGATTATTACCATTGGTTGTACGGAAATCACGTGTTTAGCTTGTGGTCCCTCTAGGGGTCACAATTTATCCGATTCTACAAACCGTTCAACTATATCACCGTTACATTCGTGAAAATCGAACCACAACTCATCGACAAAATGGCCGCTCCTCGTATGCAAATAGTGTAAAAAAAAAGAATGTAATATCAAGGTTATGGTCCCTCTAGCTGTCACAATTTTTATTTGATTTTAAAAGTCGTTTAAATATATCCCCGTTACACAATAAGGCTGGTCCTCCTATGCAAATAGTGTAAAAAAAAGAAAGTATGTAATATCAAGGTTTATGATCCCTCTAGCTGTCACAATTTTTATTTGATTTTAAAAGTCGTTTAAATATATCGCCGTTACACCATAAGGCCGGTTGAGTTCGAATTTCGTGAAAATCGGACCGCAATTGCCGGACAAAATGGCCGCTTCTCATACGCAATTAGTGTGAAAATATATGTAAGGTCACAAATTATATCCGATTTTGATGAAACTGAAAATATATGTTTATATCCCAATGATCTCGGTTCCTTTCGATATTAAAATATAGGACCTAACTTCGTGGATTATGGCCCCTTATTGTATGGAAAATCGCTTTTAGCTTGTGGACCCTCTAGAGGTCACAATTTTTATCCGATTTTAAAATCCGTTTACATGTATCGCCGTTATATCATAAATACGGTTGAGTGCGAAATTCTTGAAAATCGGGCTGAAACTTCCCGTCAAAATGACCGCACATAGCGTTAAAGCATAATACCAAGATTGTGGACCTTCTAGAGGTCACAATTTTTATCCGACTTTGATGAAACTTAAAATGGGTGTTTATATCCCAAAGATCTCGGTTCTTTTTGATACTGACGCATGCCGGACAGTAACATTCTGGACTATGACCCCTTACGAAACTCGCCCTTTTTTAGTTTGTACTCTCTTGCAAAATGTGGTCGTATCTTGCACAGCAACCGCTTGTTATTTTAATGACGATCAGAGAAAACCCACGATGTCAAAACTAAGACACTAGGGTTTATAACATGATTTATGATTAAAAGCACACGCATTAATCCATTCGTGCTATTTTTTTTTAAAACGTTACAAAAATATCCGCACCTTGCTTCGTTCGTCCGGCGTGGTTCCCCCTTGTCAGTGATGCAGAACGGAGGGCCTGTCTAGTCGTTCGGATTGTACGAAAAGCCCAGGTCCCGTGTGCACATTGGCGTGCACGTAAACGATCCCTTGACAATTGGAATTCGATATAACAGTAGGTCGTAGTGCCGCTGTCCGGGCAAAATTTCCCTCATAGCACACTGTATGGCGTATGCCCGTCTTCATTAGCCCAGTTCGGAGCAGAACAATAGGACGTTAAACCCCATTTCATTTCACTTCATTTGCTTCCTTCGGTGTAAGTCTGAGTTATCTCAGTCGAGTTGTGTTTTATCTACAGATGTATCACCCAAATTCGAGAAACGTCGGTCGGGCTAACAACACAAGAGGGAAAAGGTATTCTGTAATCTTATTCTGTATAATGACGTAAATGTCGAATTACCGACACACATCATTAAACAGGGAGCCACTGTGGCTCAGAGGGTAATCCGCTGGCACACTAAGTGAGTCGCTGGCTGAAAAACCGGGCGGTCCGGGGCTCGATGGCGATGTTGTCCGATAATGTTCCAGCGTGCTTTCTTTCCCCTTGTAATTGGTGTAGTTTCTAGCTGCCCGGGTGGGACGTTAAGCCCCATTTCATTTCATTTGAACCTTAAGCAGTGCCAGGCGCCCGATATTCAACAAATTTCAAATAATACTTCTTACAGTTCTGAGTCACTTATACACCGCACAGTATACATGCATCTTATACAATTAACCTGTTAATTAAAACACAAACTCGAGAATGGGACATAAATCAAGAAAGCAATTAAAGATGCCATAAGAAGTTGATTAAAACAATGAAAGGATGGATATATTATGTACAATGAAATAAAACAATTGACGGATTAATGTCATTTCTTCCATCGATCATAGTCGGATATTGACAGATTTATGGGCTATTGTCTACTTTATCTTTCAATCAACTAATTAAGTTGGAAAAATAAACAATCTGGAGATAATCACACCTACCATAAACCTGACCCTTTTCGTATATACATTAAAATGTGGGTCGAACGCACATGTACCGCCATACTAATAAATCAATTATTAAGGGGGGTGGGGGCGTCGGTTTAATGCGTGCGCCTTAGATTACAAGTGTTGTCATTGTGTTAAGTGGCGTAGTTTCGATATCATTTCGTTACCGTGTTGTATTTTGTATGATCTAAACGGCTCTATATAAAAGTTTTGTGGTAATGCTAGTATACAATGTATTTTGAAGTTTTGGTTGTTTTAACGTATATTTTTACATCCACAGTAAATGATGTGCCGAGCGACTTTTGTCAAGAAATTGTCCCTCGAAAGCCGAAATACTTATCGGAATTCTGAGAGAAGATCCGGATATCTAGATTTATCCAAATGATTCTCTGTTCCGAATATCCGATGTCAAGATACGTGGCTTCAAAGCGATTAGATGTATGAATACAGAAAAGAACTAGATTGTGGTAAGAGAAGACGACATCGGGTGTGAACACCGCAGACTAATGGTTTGTCGGACTATTCATCAGTCACATGTCTAGGCTTGACGACGAGGTTCGACAATAAAGAATGTCAGCAATATTCAAACGTAAAGAAGACTTATTAAACTTATTGCTCTGCCCGAAACACGTAGTCTCGATCTGCCCGAAATTTCTTGGCTTCGCCCAATATTGACATAGATATCACAATCCAACCAGATGATTCTGTGAATAAACCCTAGCTTGTACCAGTTTATCTGGATCAACATGCAAACTTCTGTATGGATTTACAATTATCCTGTAAGACTCTTTCGTATGGGATTGGGGTTTTGTTCAATTTATTTAGCTTAAAGTGTGTTAATAATAAATTTATAAAGCTCATAAGCCATGCAAGCTCTTACAAAAGAAGAATTGCCCAAACGTGAATATAATCCCCATTAACTTTATATTTCGCTTTTGGGTTGTTCATTAATGTCTATACATAATTACACAAAGGTAATAATTATTCAACACGGTACTGAATTGAACCCGGGACTTCTGTTTCTTGCTGGTTGCTTTTGGGTTTCGTCAGTTCAGAAATAATCATAAGTTCATTAGGCCAATATTTAAAGCGAAACTCAAACAGCATCACTATAGAAATTTTATGTTGAAATAATATAAGTTAAAATTTTCCATTGTCTATTTAGGGATATATAAGACAAAGGGACGTCTTATCTACTTAACTACTTCTAATGCAATTTCAATACGATTAGCGTCATTTGAGATTACAGCGGAGTTAACTCCCTTGACTTTATTCTTGTTTTAAAAGAGGCGAGTTTACTCTTAATGACGTCACATTGCTGAACAACCATCAACCTGTGAACATGGCTTATGTGCTGAAAGAAGCCGCAAAAAAGGTAAAAAGTCTTTTGAAATTTTTCGAAAACACCCTTTTAATATCATTGGAAGATACGTCCCTTTATTAGACGAAGGATTCATTCCATATTTTCATTAAACATTTGATAAAATTCGGTAGAAAATGTGTCCTTATTTTTCAGATTCTAATGCCTTTGAAACCAACGAAGGTCGTCCTTGAAAAGAAAACTAAAGTAGACTCACTCTAGTAAATTAGTTCGTGAACAGTTTCCTTGCTACCTCATGGTCTAACCCAGAAGCGTATTCTATATTATATGTATACATATATAAATGGCTCTCTAAAAAAACAAGTATGTCCAAACATGATTGAATAAGGGCTTCCCTTCCATTAAATTCCAATATGTCAAGATTACAGCGTTGCCGGCTTTGAAAATTGTTCAATTCAGAAAGGCAATTGACCATATATACAAAGTGAGGACAGAAATTTAGGAAACCAGTCGCCAGTTCTTTTTAGTTTCTGAAAAGAAATCCCAACATAGATGGAACCCTAACGCCGTAGTCGTAGACAGTAAACCCTCATACTAATATTTATATGGCTAATAAACAACAAGTCACATGATGATTTTCATAGACTCCAATTACCCGTAATAAACATTTTGTTGCTGAAGCTCAACACAAGCTGTCCCTTGCCAGGGTTTCAGCCAGAAGGCCACCGCCCACCAGACCCCGCGTCAGCGCACAGGTCCCCCCCCCCCCCTTGTACATATTTTTCTGCCTGAGAACCCTGAATTTGAATGGAAGCGGCAATTTTCTGAATTTAGATTTAAGGCAAAGTAATTTAACAATTGTTTGTTTAGCCTACTGTCTGAGCCCTATGCTTTCTTTCTTTTATAACCCTTATATTTAAGTTCTAACAAACCTTATTAGTGTTAGCACTGGTTTCTTAAAATAGATTGGATAATAAAATATTCCCTGAAAGAAAAAATTCTGTCTAGATAACATCCATAGTAAACAACCTAGCGATCACATATAGATAACCAATCTGATTTACAGTAGTGTAGTGGTGTGAAAATTTGTTTTGGTAAATTGTTGAAGTATTTTATTACACAAGCTCTGTGCATTCCTTTGACAACACCCACAGCAGATTTTTGTTTTGAGTGCATGTGATGTTCTTTTACATACATTGTAATCAATATAATCAATAGCAGTCACAATCTGAGAGACCATTCAGTGGGATGCATAGAATAGCATATGGTGTAGTATTGCGACCCATATACTTGTAATTAAAGCTTTATGATACATGTATGTATTAACACAATGGTGGGAGAAATATATTTTTGGGATTGTCTATGAATTTAAGGGCTTTGGAGATAGGAGCCTTATTGTTTAGTTCTTAATTTATTTTTGATAAAATATTTTAATGTTGATATTTGATTTAAATAATGTATGAATTTCATGTCTTTTCAGAGTGCTCGTTTATCGAGCTTGGCTCAACAATGTCGTCTGTTTCATGCCAGCCCTGCATCTTCTGCTGCGGCACAGGTGTGTTTTATTATCTTATATTTTTATGTATTAATAGTAACAAGAACACTAAAATACCATACTCTCAAATAATTCCCATCTTAAGATCATTACATTGGATTGCCATAGATTTTAAGATTCCAACATTCTTGGATTATATGTGCCACAAAACAACCCTCTTTTGTTTAGTTAAACTGAAATCCTATAGTGCTAAGAATTTTGTGTCTACAGGGCATGCGCCTGTGGAATACTGTAACTTACCAGTTACAGAGTTAACAACCATTGGCCATGTTAAGTCATTTGTTTATGACTGTCGGGATTAGCTCTTACCTTCTGTGTGCTTAATACTAATAGAGCATGCAATTATATTCCAGTATATTCATTTAATTGATAGATTTATAATTTTTTGTCATTTATCATGATTAGCATAACCTCTGCCTCCTTTCTCATATAATCACCATATATATACACAATATACACGTTGTTAAAATAGATTGCAATTTATACAAATATTAATTACATTCTTAATCTTACTTCTCAACATAGAAATTGTATGATAAATATCATTATATATTGATGACATTTTTTTTTCTCAGGTGTTGATGAGTCGCATGGAACAGAACTACATTGATTATGATAAAATGGAAAGTAAACTAAATGTTGTGAAGAACAGGTAATATTTACTGGTTTCAACCCAGGTTTTTTTTTTTAGCAAAGATTAAATTAAGGCATTTCAATGAATTTAACTTACACAATAAATACTGTTATAAACTTGAATAATTCTAAGAGTTGACATATTCTTTGTAAAAAAATGTTTTGGTAATCTGAGATAAACAGAAAGATGGGCTAGCAGTAGTTATTGAGAAATTTTTTTACACAACCTAATTTTTATATGGGAAACAATCACTGGTTCTATCAAATATGTATGGCATAAGTATCCTCATATCGTTATCAAGCGCAATTATGTAGATTTTCAAATACACATATCAAGAGGAGCGGTTAGATGTCCGAATGGTTAGCATGTGCGCGTTGTATGATAAGGTCTGTCATTGAGTCAACTGGCGTGTTTTCAATTCCCCGGTTGTACATGACAAGGAGTAGGGTCGACTGTCCAATCTCATTGGTTTTCTTTGGGTCCTCTCACTGCTAAAGACCCCTACACGCAAGCGAATTATTAAAAAAATTGAACCATGTGTTTGTTATGAAATGAACTAGTTTGTGTCGAATGGACGTTAAACCCCATTTCTCTCTCTTTACACATATCAATCTTTGTCACAGTGTAGGCCTGCATGTAGCCTTATGTATTGCTAGGAAATTAACAGATTTCAATGAAACTATATTAGATTATATTGTATGTATTCAGATTAGGCAGACCACTTACTCTTTCGGAAAAGATTGTCTACAGTCACTTGGAGGACCCTAAAAATCAGGTAATCTATTAAAAAGTAAACCTATTATTGCCATTTTTCAGATCTTGATTTCAAGTATCAGATTTTCAAGCTTTCTGTGACAGTGATAAAATTTTCTGTCTGTATATTGTAGTGAATATGTCACTAACATCTACAGTCAAATTCTTTCATGTAGCTTCAAGAAACCGGATTGGCATAAGTCAAGAGCAGAATATTGAGTAAAATCTTAAGTTGTAGGGCTTGAAATAATAATAATCCTTTTAATTTGAAAAGAAATAGGAAATCCTAAAAGAAAGCTCTCCACTTTCTCTTGTCTTTCAATACTTCATTGCTTTTGATATTTCAAGGATCTTCAGAGAATTATGACTTTAAAAGAGCAAGAGATGTACATGTAGCTCTCTTTTTGTTTCATCTTCTTGAGTTGATCTAGATCTAGTGTTTGATCTAGATTTGATATTGAGGTTTTGTTATATGGAATAAAATTGTATATAATAGAGATTTAATTTACTATTATTTTATTTTACAGGATATTAAAAGAGGTGAAAGCTATTTGAGACTGAGGCCTGATCGTGTTGCTATGCAAGATGCCACTGCTCAGGTAATGGAAATAAATGTACACCTTGTACTTTAAAGAATTCTTGAATTTGAAATGTTAATTATATTGTGTTTTAGTTTCCTGTCACCCTTTAAAGAAGTTAACACCACTGTGATCATGAGAAACTGTCATTCTACCATGCCAGTTAATTTCAATCTACAACACATTCTTCCCTTTTCTGTACAATCCCAATGTCCTAGAGTGACATTGCTTGTTCTGAGTGGAAGTTAAACACCTTTTCTCTTATCTCTATTAAAATATATATTTTAATATTTCTTGTTACGAAGTTTAGTTTCTGATGTTCTGTTTATTCGTTGTTTTATTTCGTAGATTTAATGTAGGTTAAATTATTATAATTTTTTTCAGATGGCTATGTTACAGTTTATTTCTAGTGGTTTACCTAAAGTAGCTGTACCATCAACTATTCATTGTGATCATTTAATTGAGGCTCAAGTTGGTGGTGAGAAAGATTTATCAAGAGCAAAGGTATTTTATACAGGGGAACCTCACTATACATTTAGCATTTGTTTTGGTAGGGGGCAGAGGGTAGCATTATGGTGAAGTTCTTGTGTATTATATACATACACAAGAGTCTTGCTGTAGTCAGTTTATTCTTACATTAAATCCTTAGTAATATCAACAATTATGACTTGTACCATCAAACTGGGTACAAGTTGTAAGAATAGTGTTTTTGTAGAAATGGTCTTTGTCTATCCAGCATTACTCTAGTTGTAATGTGGAGTTTGGATCTGACCTTTGACCTAGAATATATTATAGCAGCTAACAGGTGTGGAATAACAGAAGCTTTGTTTTGTCCGTGTATTATGCTGCTTACAAAGTATTATTATTATTATATTCTAAAATTTATGTCATACCATACAAGATATATGTATAATATTTATTGGTTAGCTTATGATATTTTTTTGTTTTTTTTCAAAGGATTTGAATAAAGAGGTCTATGATTTCTTGGCGTCTGCAGGAGCCAAGTATGGTGTTGGATTTTGGAAACCCGGAAGTGGAATCATTCATCAAATTGTTCTCGAAAACTACGCTTTCCCAGGTGTTTTGTTGATAGGAACTGACAGTCATACACCTAATGGAGGTAACTATTTTTTGTAAAACTAGTCTATTTATAATAGAAACATTTCCAATAATTTCAGCAACCCTGTTTTGTATAGTTGTGTGATAGAAGGTTGCATTCATATGAAGGATGGGACAAGAAATATAATCAATTTCTGTTGTCATGACAGATGACCTATTATGTTGGACTCAAATCATTGAACAAAAATGTTATGGTACTGTATCTTAAAAATTGCCAAATAAATGCAGACTGCTGGTTTATTTTAAAAAATATTATGTATTATTTCAGGTGGTCTAGGTGGAGTTTGTATTGGTGTTGGTGGAGCTGATGCTGTAGATGTAATGGCTGATATTCCTTGGGAGTTAAAATGTCCTAAGGTGGGTTACATCAAACAAATTCTGTATTTTGTCAGTTGAAGGTCTTTGTTTATCCAGCATTACTATAATGGTATTGTTCATTTTGGATAAAATATTAGACCGAGATTATAGAACCGTAGCTGATAAAAGGCGTGGAATAACAGAAGTTTTGTTAATATCCTTGTTTCATCAGCTTTCAAAGACCCTTATTTTCGGTAAATTATGACTATTTTCCCTTTAGGCATGGGAACATGTAAAAACTGTTTTTTTTTGGTTCCCTGAAAAGCTAGAGAAGTGATGTTTTGTAGCTCAACTCCCAATCTTGCCACATAGTACACGGTCCTTAAATACTTCACTGCATTGAAGGGAATTGAATTTTTTTTGATTTGTTGAATCTATAATTGAGTCCAGTATGTCGTTTATTGTAGTAAGTATTTTTCATATGTTAGTGTTATCTTGTATTTTCTAGGTTATAGGTGTTAAATTAACTGGTAAATTAAGTGGTTGGACATCACCTAAAGATGTCATATTAAAAGTAGCAGGTATTTTAACTGTTAAAGGTGGTACCGGTGCTATTGTAGAATATTTTGGACCAGGTGTTGATTCTATCTCTTGTACAGGTAAATAATTACTTTATTTTTATTCTGAACAGATTCAAATTACCTGATAAAAATCCATTTAATAAAGAGACGTTATCATTTTCACAAGAATATAACTTATTTAATAGCATTTTACATTTAAAAAATAACCAAACTCTTAATTATTGAATTTTCAAGCCTTGGACTATTTTGATAGAAAAAGTTTAGCACTAGTCACAGCTGAACTCCTTAAAGACTTTTTCTAAGTTATGTCTTTTATTAGAAATTAATCTGCTGGTCGTTTATTTTGGCTCCAATCAAATTTAAACACTTCTGATGTCCTGATCTGATAGGCTAGTCGTGTCAAATCGCTATTTGTTTTGTTAGCATAGTTCTCTTAAGTGCTAATACCTCATTACGGGTAAACCTCATTTATAGATGGTGCCATATAATTTTTTCAGAACCATGTCCGTGATTATTGAAAGGGATTATATATTTGTATTTGTAGGTATGGGAACAATCTGTAATATGGGTGCTGAGATTGGAGCAACAACATCAGTATTTCCTTACAATCATAGAATGCAGGATTATCTTAAAGCTACAAGTAGAGCTGGTAAGTTGACTACTGTTAATAACATAGTACATGATTTTTGGTGAGTCCAATGCCAGAAAAGAACTGTCATGATTTTCAAGTGCCTTTTCAACTTCTAGTGGTCTTTTGGTAGTAGGACATGCATTAGTCTGAATTAATAACTCCTCCCACCTTGCCTTAAAATTAAATAATGTATTTTTGTAAGCTCTACCTTACGAAATGTCAGGCACCAATGAACTAGTAGTACCCACCATTCTGAAGTTTATGCCAAACATGTATTACAAATATTTTTAAAAACACAGAAAAAAAAAGACAAATCTGTGGCAGACAAAATGACAGGCAGCAGACAAATTGTGCCTAACAATGCCTGTCACTATAGAAAATGACATTACAGTGGTCATATCCAAACCCAATTCCATTGTAAAGTCTTTTAGGGTGGTTGGGGTGTAGATCAGAGGACTGGTTAAACGATACAAATTGTATGTTACATCCAAGGTCTTCATATTCAAACAAATACAGCAGTTAAATCTTCAATGAAAACAGGCAATGTTACAACCCTGATCCTTAGAAATATTCAATAAATATTTCACATTTTATCATAAAATCATCTTTATAATCTACATTGATCTGATTAATTTATTTATAGATATTGCTGATCTAGCCAATAATTATAAGGGTATATTAACTGCCGATCCTAATGCTCAGTATGATCAAGTTATAGAGATTGATCTTGATACAGTAAGTTTTCTATTGAAAAAATCTTTTGGGGGTTTGGTACCCAGAGGCTGGGTGTACAAATGGTCTAAGGCGTCCATCTTGGATCTGTCATTGAGTTAGATGCCCTCCTTGTACATGACAATGAGTAGACTTGCCTGCCCAATCCCCTGGGTTTTCTCTGTGTTCTAAGATAGCAATGTTAAAGCCACATTTTTAGTGTCTAATTTTTCACAGCTTTATCTACACTAAAATGTGTTCAAGTTGATTATTTAATTAAGATATTTATGAATTTTAGGATTAAAGATGTCTCACACGTTTTAAAGGACATAATTGTATTTTCTGTGTCTCAAATATAGATCTCTAGCAATGTTTAGATGTGAGACAACAATCAGTTATATTTGAAGTGGAAACTTATGTCATGAGTCCATAGTGTGAAGAAGCATCTAGTTGTTTTATAGTGGTAAATTTGATAATATTGTTTATTTTATTTGCAGCTTGAGCCACATGTTAATGGACCTTTTACTCCTGATTTAGCTCATCCTGTATCACAACTTGGAAAGGTTGCTCAAGAGAAAGGATGGCCAGCAGAAATCAAAGTTGGTGAGTTGTTTTGTATTTCAGAAATGAGATAGAAAAATGAAATGTTTATTGGGTTTCATGAAATGTTTATTGGGTTTATTGGGTTTTCTTTCTTGTTGGGTTCGTAATGGCATGATAAAACAGTATTTTGTTATAACATGTAGTTGTCTCCCCTGCATCTGATTTTGGTAAGAGTGATGCTATTGATAAGAAGTAATAGTACGGTTTAGTTTGTTATAGGTTTAATTGTGGTTATGTTTTATTTTACAGGTTTAATTGGTAGTTGTACTAACAGTAGTTATGAAGATATGTCTAGATCAGCAAGTATAGCTAGACAAGCTTTAAAACATGGTTTAAAATCTAAAGCAGCTTTTACCATTACACCTGGTTCAGAACAGATTCGTGCTACAATTGAACGTGATGGACAGGTAGGGTTCTTCATTTTATTGTCTTATTACACCAAAATATGAATAATAATTCACCTTTCATAACTCATTCCCCATCCCTTTATTATCACTCACTAATCAATACGATTAATTTTATATAATAGCAAATCTAAAATATCCTTAAATGCACATTGTTATTATTGAGAAGATCCATGCCCTGACCTACTTTGAGTAAGCTATTTTTCTTTCGCATTTGTTCGATTCCTTGAGGACTACTGCAGAGTTTGTACTACTTGTGGATAGAATGAGCAGATTAGTAGGTTTTTGTACTGTAAATGGACATTGTTAGCATGCCACAATTTTCAAATGACCATTAGCTATTTAAACTGAAAGAAAGAATTTATAATTGGTGATGAGACATTGAGACCAATAAATTTCCCCAAGAAATGAGCTGAACAGTTAAGGCAGTTAAGTTCTGATGGATTTTAAAGAGACTATTTTAAAATAATCTGTAATGGATATTCTATATTTTTTCAGGCAGCAGCATTAAGAGATATTGGTGGTGTTGTATTAGCTAATGCTTGTGGTCCATGTATCGGTCAATGGGATAGAAAAGATGTAAAGAAAGGAGAAAAGAATACTATTGTTACATCTTATAATCGTAATTTCACTGGTAGAAATGATGCCAACCCAGCTACGCATGCTTTCGTTACTTCACCTGAATTAGTAACAGCTATGGCTATTGCTGGTGATTTAGGTTTTGATCCAAGAAGAGATGAATTAAAGGGAACTGATGGTATGTTCAACAATAGAAAACATAAATAAATTGGAGTTATCTCTTCATTTACATTTCTGTTTTTAAAATCTTATGAATGTGATACTTTAAAACTTGGGGTGATGGGTCATTGTATCATAAGAACCATATCACAGTTTGATTGCATTTTGTGGAGATATGTTTCTGTTCACATTTTAACTGTTAAAGCATGTGAGTATGATACAGAAATAAGCTTTTCAATGGAATGTATTTGAAATTTGGTGGGATTGTTCATATAAAGAGAAACTGGGGAAAACAAACCTCTAATTATTGTTTAAAAATTCTGTATTTTATTTTACAGGTACAAAGTTTAAATTAGAATCACCATATGGTGATGAATTACCTGCTAAAGGATTTGATCCTGGTCAGGATACATACCAACCTCCTCCATCAGATGGTTCCAATCTTAAAGTTCATGTTTCACCTGATTCACAGAGATTGCAACTTCTATCACCCTTCGATAAATGGGATGGCAAAGATCTTACAGATATGGTCATTTTAATTAAGGTATTCAAAAGTCACTACTTCATGCAATTCTTTATATAAGTCCCACATCTACATTTATAATGCAGACAATGTTGAAATTTGATTAACACTGAATGTTCTGTGATCTATACACTGGGTTTGTGGGACCAAGACATCTGACTTCAGGACTTAAAGCAATTGGAAGTCGTGTCTTGAGAACCAACCACTTATATTGTGCGTACTGCAATGTTGCTTTCTTGGTTTATCTCCAATATTCCACAATGTGCTACGAACAGTTGATTATTCTGCCTGGATGTCCAATGTCTAGACGTAAACAAGTGACGTTTGTGTCCAGAGAACTGTTCTCTTGTATTGTCAGTACTCAGAATTTTCCCCGTATTTTATACAGTTGACAATCCACTTTCTTTTCTTTTGACTGTTTTAATTCATTAATAACTACTGACAGTATCTTGATTCTTGTTGACCGTTTTAGTTCATTAATAACTACTGACAGTATCTTGACCAACAGATCAATTTGAATAGAAATAATATATTGATGACATCTGATCGTACAATATGTTTATTATTTCAGGCTAAAGGTAAATGTACCACAGATCATATCAGTGCTGCTGGTCAGTGGTTGAAATATAGAGGACATTTAGATAATATCTCTAATAACTTATTGATTGGGTAAATATTTATTCTTTTCTTCATAATTTTATATGATAGTATAGATTTTGTAGTTAGGAAAACAGATGCAAAGCTTACATGTCCTCTAACTAGTTGGACCAACAAGGACAACATGTCTTGATTGAATGAATCAAGTCCTCTGAAAGTATTGAACTTTATCATAAAATTTTGTTCATAAGGACGTTACAACATAATATCTAGTTATTTTTCTGTGTGTATTTATGGCAATTCACAAATTCTTGTTGGGGTAGTGGGGACTGAGGAGTGACTGTTTGATCTGCAGTAGAATTGCCTTTTGGTAGTAAACTTCAATCCCCCTAACCAACATATCATTCTGTTCCAAAATTGCAGATATATTTTAAGGCGTTTCATTTTTCCAGTGCTGTAAATGCTGAAAATGGTGAGATTAATAAAGTCAAACATCAAATTACCGGTGAATATGATGGAGTCCCTGATACAGCCAGAAAATACAAGGCAAGATAACACTTTTATACTCCGACGTATTAATGTAGAGGCTACAAAAACACATATATTGTTTTAACACAGATATGGGTTGAAATGATTGTCAATAATCACCTCCAGAATATGACGTTTATCTATTCAATTAGTTTATTATAATACGCTGAGAATATGAATTTTATTTAATTTATTTATGATAAGCTGAGAATCTGTTTATGAGAAAATATTATTATATATATTTTATTGAACCTGTTTAATTTGATAGGCTGGGAATATGAATTTTATTTAATTTGTTTATAAGCTGAGAATATAAAGACAGGTAATCTGTTTATGAGAAAATATTATATATATTTTATTGAGTCTGTTTATTATGATAGGCTGAGAAAATCCCCTGGGTTGTTATTGGTGATGAGAACTATGGTGAAGGTAGTAGTCGTGAACATGCTGCATTAGAACCTAGACATCTTGGTGGAAGAGCTATCATCGTTAAATCATTTGCCCGAATTCATGGTAAGTTGATCACATAAATTAAATAAAAGAAATTTCTCAAGATATTATAATTCAGTGTGATTGGGGTAATTCTGAGACTTGAAACTGTGTTTCAATTTTTTATGATTTGTTTAAAATTACTATATTTCAGTCTACTTAAAATCAAAGTTTTGTTTTGATGAGTAGTTCAGTGATTAAGGTGCTGGCTCACTAACCTAGGGATCCTGGAGTTTTGGCTGAAAAAATTCCTCAGGATTTCCCAGCATGGATCTCTCTATGTGAACATTGGCATGCTCGTAAAAAAACCCTTGGCATTTGAAATTTGATGGAGTGTAGGCAGAAGATCTGGGAAAATTTCATTCATTAGCCTGATTGGATCAGAAAAGTAGACTGTTAAGCCCCATTTCATTTTGTTTTGATGAAATACATGTAAGAACAAAAATTAATGAGATTGATCAATATTTCATTCTTTTTGTGCACTACATTCCACCGTGTATCAAAATGCTCTTATTTACTTTTATTTGCAGAAACTAATTTAAAGAAACAAGGTCTACTTCCTCTTACCTTCGCCAACCCTTCAGATTATGATAAGATTCAACCGTCTGATAGAATCTCTTTATTAGGATTAGCAGACCTTGCACCTGGAAAGGTAACTTATATATAATCATTACACCATCTTGGTAACAAATAATTTCATATTGACAATAAGACACGCATTTACATACAATTCATATTAATACGATTACATTTCGGTTGAGGTTGGGTTATTGAAGATACATGTAGATCTTAATCTTTGAGTGACACATAATCAGTCAATCACTTTGCTCATGAAAAGAATAATAACATTATCTTTTACATTTGTTAAATTTTCAACTCAAATGTAAGAGATAAAGTCTAGGTTGTCTTTTCATTTTCTGTTTCTATACAATATTTTACTGAACTCAGTTTTACTTAACTTCTGATAAGTTTCATCATTGTGTTGTGTTCTTACTTGTGTACTGTAAATGGCCAATGAAAGCACAGCTCTTCCAGTTACCCCAAGGCATAGTCCACTAATCTTTTTATACCTTAAATGATTTGTGAAAAATATAACTGATGCCACCTAGTCTGATATTCTGTTAGATCTTATGTAGTCTGGCAAATCACAACTGTCTTCATTAGCCTGGAAGATGCCAAAGAGTAGGATGGTAAACCTCATTTCATTTAATGATTCAAGAAGATCAAAACCAACTGTATTTTTATTTTTCAGCCAGTACAATGTGAAGTAAAACACAAAGATGGTTCCGTAGATAAAATAGAATTAAAACAAACAATGAATGAAGGCCAGATTGCATGGTTCCGAGCTGGTAGTGCATTAAATAGAATGGCTGAGTTAAAGAAGTAAATACAACGTAATGTGATATTAGTTCATGCTTAGTCATAATAACAAAAGATATTTAAACCATCAGGGACAAGTTACTAAATGAAATAAAACAATAAACTCCCAGCTTTATGTACATTTCAACATATTTTATTATGTAAGTCCGAAAGTATTTTTTTTTTTTTTTCAAGTCCGAAAGAAGATTTTATGTATGAGAATAAGAAATTTTATTATTTTAAATGTGTATAAATTGTTATGTTTTAACTCAGAAGTTTTATATTTACTAAAAGTGTAGAATATAGAAACTTTCATTTTATGTTCTTAGATTGTGTGTGTGATATTAAAATATACAACCAGTTGATTTTATCTATTATTGTACATAAATTTTTAAAATCATAAAAATAAAATTGAAGAGAGAAGTTCTGGTTCGTTGTTGTTAATATTTTGGTTGGGCATTGAAAGAAATTGAGCAATTTATTAATTGACCCTATTTTTTTTTGGGGGGGGGGGGGGGGTGATGGCCGAATGGTTAGCACGTGCACGCTGTATCATAAGGTCTGTCATTGAGTCACTGGCGTGGTTTCGATTTCGATTCCCCGGTTGTACGTGACAAGGAGTAGGGTCGATTGTCCAACCTTGTGGGTTTTCTCTGGGTCCTCAGGTTTCCTCCCACTGCTAAAGACCCATACACGCAAGCAGGGCTGTCGGTAATTTTTCACAGTTGATTAGCAGCACTGCTAATCAAAAAGTCCAATTTTGCCAAATTTGATTAGCAAATTTAAAAATTGATTAGCAGTTTTTCAGTTTCAACGTAAAACACCTAAATAACAAGATATTACTTTAATTCATAACAAATATGATTAGATTCCATTCTGATTATTCTTTAAATTCTTAGATTTTTTAGCACTGCCACAAGTACTTGTGACAGTTTGTGAATGTGATGTGGACATTTAGTTAGGTCTTGTGTCTGAAGCCAATTCTTGACAGTGACTTCCGAAGCTCCACTCAATTTAATTGTTATTTTTTGTCACGTTAGAAATCTTCGTTAGAAAACAATTTGTCTGCTTTTTATCTTGTATTAGTTTACTATTTTTGTTCAATCGGGCGCACCTCGATTAACTAGACACACGCGATATAAACAATAATATTTTACGGGAATTTTTACTTTGATTTATCATTTTAAAATACGTTAACATGTATTTATTTTTTTATATTTTATTTACAATGCGTGGGGGATACACTGGATTTATTTCTTTCAAAATGAATATGATATAATTACTTGATGTCTCGCAATGTGAGTGGTACTACTTGATTCCCTATTTCCGGTTTAATAGTCCCTATTCATAGAGTTATGTCCCTGTGTTATATAGTATTGTGTCTGGGTAGTTCGAGAAGAAAATGTCACGCGGAGAATTCAGTTTTGTTTATAAAATTTTATTCAACATTTTATACACGTTGAAAGTGTTGAGTAAGCCTTCTAGTCTTCAAAATGCGAATCAAAAACTGCGAATCAAAAACGTTAGATTTTAATTTTTGGTTAGCAACGGACAACATATGTATCGCAAATTGCGCTGCGATACTGGTTGTCGGCAGCCCTGCACGCAAGCGAATTATTGAAATGAAACTGAACCATGTGTTAGTCCCGAAATGACCTAGTTTGTGTCGAGTGGAGATTAAACCTCATCTCTCTCTCTCTCTCTCCCTCTCTTATATTTTTATAATCTGTAAACGGGTGAAGTGGCTGGCCAGTCCAAGACATTGATGTTGTTAGCAGCCAGGTAGTCCATACTAAAACGGGCGGTATGCGGACGTGCATTATCCTGTTGGAAGTGCTTAAGTTGTGGGTGCGCTCGGAACAACAATTGGTTGCAAGACATCATCACGGTAGGCTAAAATATTAACGCGACCCTTGCAAATGTGTAGGGCGGTCCGGTGATGAAATGTGAAGCCTCCCCACACCATTACACTTCCCCCACCCCATCGATTCGTTTAGAAGACGCAGCAGTCTGCAAGACGTTCCCCAAGACGTCTCCACACATGTTGACGGCCATCAGCGTGATAAAGATGAAAGCGACTCTCATCACTGAAAAGCACACTTTGCCAGTCTACTCTTCTCCATGTCTGGTGTCCTTGAGCCTATATCAAACGCCGCTGACGGTGATGATCCCTGAGGATAGCTCCAACATGAGGTCGTCAAGCACTGAGTCCTACTTCTCTTAGACGACGTCTTACGGTGTTGGCACTTACTGGTCCTTGTCTTCTGACGACTGCTGCACCTGTTCGAGTCGCTGGGCGGAATCTGTCACGCAGATGAGTGACCCAGATGTAGCGGTCTTGAGCCTGGGTTGTAACGCGTTGTGGACCAGGACGTTGACAGTCAAGTGTTGATCCAGTAACTCGAACACGTTCCACCAACCTTACAATAGTGGACTGATGACAATTGAAGTGTCTGGCAATAGCACGTGTAGACATGCCAGCCCTGGACATTCCCATGGCTTCATTCCGTTGATTTTCAGTAAATCTCGGCATCTCTAGCTCGATTCCTTCACACGTCCAACAACAAATTACGACAGATTGACGTTTCACAGTTCATGTACTGCACATTATGTTGAAAACATGCTTTTAAAGGGCTCACACACAATGCTGCACGTGAATATTGGGGTTTTCATGTGCATCTCGTGCAATTTTTTTTTGCACACGGGCCGATATTTTTTGCGTTTGGGAGCATTGTGTGAAACAATAGTTCATAGTATTGCATAATATTATAAATACAAAACCACCTAGTAATAAAATATTTGGGAAAAAAAGTGATGAGTTTTCCATGGCGCTCAGTATATATTTTTTCAGATGTTTTTCGAGGGGTTTGATTTCCCAAATTTCTGAAATTGACCCACTTGACATGGGAATGTAATGTTTTTCATATTCTCAAAATATAATCATCAAAACCTGGCAGAAGAACGAATTTCTAGACCACAATAAAGTTGGTGAAAACATCACTGATGATGATGATACCTTGCTTTCAGGGGCGGATTGGGCCATCGGGCCATCGGGCGATCGCCCGAAGGGCCGGTCGGACAAAAAATGAAAAAAATAATTTTGTCCAATTCGTCAAAATAACCTATTTCTGCTGAACATTATATGGGGTTGGGTGGGGAGGGGGTATTGGACCGGCCATGGAGCTATGATGATCATGTTGTATGTGGCCGGTGGCTTTAACGGGCCGCCACGCCATCACTGGAATCTGGAATGGGCTGGTATAACTGACTTTCTGGGCCGGGTGTGCTGGGTGTGGGCCGGAATTCGGAATCCTGCATTTTTTAATGAAAATATTCCTACTTTTTCAATATCCCTAACTGGTTAATCAAATGGTCAAAATTTTCTCAACTAGTCCCATTTTTTAACCAGTTAAATACTCTTGACGATACAATGATGATACGTTACTAATAATAATATGACGATATGATAATTTTACAGGTTTATGGTTGTAAACTACTTGCAGGTCGGGGTTTGGGCCTAAATTAATCGATTTATGAGATATATTATTTGACAGAGATTATAATCAGATATGCCACCAAATCGCATATTTGAGGTTCATTTTTCAAAATTTTCCCGAGGGAGAGTCCCCGGACCCCCCGTCCGGGCTCCGCGGTCAGTAAAAGGGGGCCGCTCCGACACGGGAGCCCGGGCGGGTTCCCGGCCCCAATCCTCCCCTGCTTGCTTTGGTCTTTAACAGCCATATGACATGGAAGTAAACTTTAATACGCGAAAGCAAAAATATGTCCCAAATATTACATTACATCAAAATGCTTGATTATATACTATTCAAAAAAAGTAGGGGATATTTGATTTTTAAGTGTTATTAAAGTCACCGAATGAAACTGACGAAGAAACAAATGACAAAATGAAATGAAGTTCACATTCATCGATTTATTCCAAATGATCGTTAGACTAAGTAAGGCACAGACTGACCATTATAAGGGTAAAATGATACCCGGGGTCAAACAGCAAAGTTACCACAGCATCACAACCAAGTCAGTAACGGGTAAATCCTCCTCTGTTTGCCAAACAAGCATTGATCCGACGTGGCATACTCCTAATGAGACGTCTAAGGTCATTTTGGTCCAGATTGTCCCATTCCTGTTGCAACGCAGCAGCAAGTTCTTGGACATTGGCAGGACGTTGTTGACGTTGACGTAACCTCTGTCCAAGCATGTCCCAGACATGCTCGATGGGGGAGAGGTCGGGACTCAGTGCTAGCCAAGGTAATGTGGTGATGTTCTGTTGTTGGAGGTAACCTGTAACGATCCTGGCGCTGCGACATCTTGCGTTGTCATCCTGGAAGATGAAACGGCGGCCATGACGTCGTGCGAACGGCACAACATGGACTGCCAAGATGTTGTCCCGGTAGTACTGGCCTGTAACACGCCCTGCAACAACATGTAAAGCCGTTCTTCCAGCAAAAGTGATGCCTCCCCACACCATAACAGAACAACCCCCAAATCGATCATGTCTGATGACGTTAACGTCTAGGAAGTGCTCGTTTCGACGACGCCACACCCTCCTACGTCTGTCCAAAAAATCAACAGTGAACCTTGACTCATCTGAAAACATCACATTGCTCCAGCGTCGATTATCCCAGTGTTGACGATCCATACACCAACGACGTCTTGCCTGAATGTGATGATCTCTCAAACAAGGGATCACGCGAGGACGTCGGGCGCGAAGGTGACCCCTATGCAGTCGATTCCGAATCGTCTGGCCACTCACTCTCACACCAGTGTCTGTTTGAAGACGAGCGCTGATCTGATTTGCTGTGATGACACGATTTCTCAAGGCCAAGGTACGGATAAATCGATCCTGGGCTTGAGTTGTCGCCCTTGGTCGACCTGAGCGTGGTCTGTCCTGTACAGATTGTGTATCACGGTATCTGGGCCATAGCCTGCTTATGACAGACTGAGAAACATTCATCGTCCGCGCCGCAACCGCCTGTGTTGTGCCGATCTGTAGCATGCCAAGGGCACGTAACCTTTCATTTTGGGTAAGCCGACGCATATCAAAATTTGTTTTCTGGTCACTAAAACAATTAAACTGATGTTTCCACCCTGGAATTCAATGCCACAATGACTGTAACATTCAAAGTCAGAGTCGTGCAAATCTTGGGTTGGACCCCCATGATGATCCCAAGCATCACCTGCATTCCATGCGGTAGCTATTGGTGCGTTTGGGCGTCACATGTAACTGGAAATGTTTCTTCTGTTAGGTTCTATAGTGACTTTTTTCGTAGTCATTTGCATATTTTAGTATTATGCCCCCAAAATCAAATATCCCCTACTTTTTTTTAATAGTATATTACAGCCCGCGTGTAAGACGGATGTCTGGGACATATCCTATTAGTCTGGTCTCTTGAGGTTAATTCAAATA